GGCAGCCGGGAAGTAACAATCGCCCTCACAATCCGAAATGCACACGAAACCTCTCTATTACTCACTCATCTTTGTCTTCATCTTCATCTCTATCATCTTGCCTTCCTTCCACTGATGCAACTCCTCGACTTGATAGCTCTCCACTTCCTCTCCACTCTGCGTCCACTAAAAACGATGGAAGCCAAAAAACCACCACCGACAGCCTCTTAAAGCCGCGCCACCAATTTCATATAGGAGCTCTTAATGTTAGGACACTTTGCCAAATAGGACAACAAGCATCACTAGCCAAGACCCTGGCATCACGAGCCATTGATGTATGCTGTGTTTCAGAAACACGCATACAAGACCCAAGTGTGGTTATTCACCTAACCCCACCTGGCCAACAGGTTGAATCTGCAAAATTCACCTTGAGGGTGTCAGGAGATGCCACAGCTAGTTCACGAGGATTAGCTGGCGTAGGGATAGCTTTGAGTACTAGGGCAGAAAAGACATTGCTTGACTGGATCCCGGTAGATAGCCGAATGTGTGCTGTCCGCCTGAACGGATCAGTAAGAAGGAGGAAGGACTGCACTACTCGCCGATGCCTTTTCGTAATCTCCGCCTACGCCCCCACTGACTGCAGTTCAGATGAAACGAAGGATGAGTTCTACCAAAAGCTGTCTAGTTTGGTGAAAAGGCTAAACGCTCAGACATAGTCGTTCTAGCTGGTGACTTTAACGCTCAAGTAGGGAAATTGTGTCAATCTGAGAAGGATGTCGGTGGCACCTATGGAGCTCCGTGCCAGCGAACCGACAACGGTGACCGTCTCCTACAGTTCTGCTCTGATAATCATTTGTTTCTTGTAAGCACTAACTTTAAACACAAGGAGAGACACTGTTTGACTTGGAGACCCCCTTCATCAAACCAACGCTGGACACAAATAGACCACATAGCAATAAGCTATCGTTGGCGTGGGTCGGTAGGAGATTGTCGCTCCTTCTGGAACACGTGCGTAGATACCGACCATGCACTGGTCCGCGCTCGGGTGTGCTTACGACTGAACGGACGTAGGAAACAGCTGGCGGTAAAACCATCACGTCCCCAGCTCGATCAGGAAACTAAATCCGTATTTGAGGAAGAACTAGCTAAACACATATCTGTGTTCGACAGCTGTGCTCACCCTGAAGAAGCTTGGAAAAATATCCAGGCAGCCATAGATACAGCTGTAAAAGCTGTGAATAAGGTAAACCCAAAGGTGAGTAAAAACCACTGGATCTCCACCGCCTCATCCGAACTGATAGATGCTAGAAGACTTATTCCGGCGAGCTCCGAATTCAATGAGGAGCGAAAGCTGCACAAGAGGAAACTTACGAAAAGTCTCCGCAAGGACCGTGAACAGTGGTGGGCGACAAAAGCCAAAGAGATGGAGAAAGCTTCGAGGATAGGCAACACCAGGCAACTCTTTGGACTCATCAGGGAAACGGGTGGGAGAAGACAAATCATCAGTGAGACAATCTCGGAAAAAAATGGCACTATAATTAGCTCCCAGGATAGACGACTGGATCGTTGGAAAGAGCATTATGAGGAGCAGTTTAATTTGCCCACAGCCACGCTCAACCTTCCGAGCATCCAACACCTCCCTGAATGGGATATAAACACAGGTCCTCCGTCACTAACTGAGGTTACTAAAGCTGTCACCAATCTGAAACTAGGCAAAGCAGCGGGACCTGATGGAATGACTCCAGAGGTATTTAAGTACGGTGGAGACAGCTTACTGTCCGGATTAACTGAGGTACTAGGCAGCGTCTGGGAATCAGAAGAAGTCCCATCGGGTTGGTGTAAGTCACTGATTATCCCCATATACAAGAAGGGAGACAAGTCTTCCTGTGATAATCACAGAGGGATTAGCTTGACTAATATAGTATCTAAAGTCTTAGGCTCAATAATCATGCGTAGACTGAGTGGTGCTCGGGAAGCACAAACACGAGAGAGCCAGGCAGGCTTTAGACCAGGAAGAGGGTGTATTGATCATATCTTCACCCTCCGACAGATTCTAGAACATAGGCATTCCTACCGGCGTCCAACAGTCATTATATTTCTTGACCTAAAGGCAGCATTCGACTCTGTCGATCGGGAAGTTCTCTGGAGATGCTTGGCTGTAAAGGGAATTCCAAGAAAATATATTGCACTGATTAAGGCACTCTACTCGTACTCATACAGCCAGGTGAGGGCTTACGGCGAGCTGTCATCTGAACTGATGACGACCAGTGGTGTCCGTCAAGGATGCCCATTATCTCCTTTTCTATTCAACTTCATCATAGATGTGTTAATGGACTTAACCCTAGGTGACTTCAGCGATTCAGGGATTGACTTGCTACCAGGGAATAATCTCGTTGACTTGGAATATGCAGACGATATAGTCCTTCTAGGCGAAGACGCTGACGAAATGCAGAGTCTTCTAAACACCTTGAACAGCAATCTACGAATGTTTGGCATGCGATTCGCTCCCGCCAAATGCAAGATGATGTTACAGGACTGGACTACATCGACGCCTAGTTTAAAAATAGGAAGTGAAGTGGTAGAGCACGTTGACCGCTTCACTTATTTGGGAAGTACCATCAGCCCCAACGGGCTGATCTCTGACGAAATCTCAGCACGAATACAAGGGGCTCGTTTCGCATTTGTTAGTTTACGCCGACTCTGGCGTAGACGAGATGTTCGACTATCGACCAAAGGGCGGGTGTACTGCTCATCAGTCCGCTCCGTCCTCCTTTATGGTTGTGAGACCTGGCCACTGAGAGTGGAAGACATGAAAAGACTAGCTGTCTTTGATCATAGGTGCCTGCGTTCTATTTCCCGTGTAAAGTGGCATAATAAGGTGAGCAACATGGAGGTTAGGCGTAGAGTTCTAGGTAAACAGGGGAAATCAATCGACGAAGTCGTGAAGCTACAAAGACTGAGATGGTTAGGACATGTGTTACGTATGCCAAGCCATCGCCTCCCTCGACGAGCTATGTTAGCGGATATAGGGTCAGGCTGGAAAAAAGCTAGCGGCGGTCAAACAAAAACTTGGCATCAGTCAATGAAATCCACAACAGTTGGTCTAAGCCACGTAGGAAGGTGTAGACTTCCAGGCTGGGGTCCTCGGGACGGTAAAAATCTATGGTTGGAAACAATTGGTGACATGGCTCAAAATCGTTCTCAGTGGCGCAGATGCATCCACTCCCTGTGACTTATGATCTTCAATGAAACTGTTTTGTATTTCTTTATTACTCCTTTGTCTCACACCTCTGCTCACTGTTTCTATTATGCTTTTCTTGTACTTTCTTCTCTTGCTTCGCGTGCTACACGGAATGTGGCGACTTGAACTTCCGCACATTTGTGCAAAGTTCTATGTCGAAAACAGACAGACAGACAGACAGACATCTCATAGCTATAAAGAAGGACAGAGCGAACTGCAGCTTGGTACGCAAATTTTTTGATCGATGGTTGGATATAATGTTTACTTCAGTGAGGATGTAAGTTGGCAAATGCCATACGAACCATTCGTATCCGTACTGAGATTTTTTCAACCATCAGTCCATCAGGAGTGATGCAGATTCTCAAATAATTTAAGTGTTCTACGTCTTCTCCATCTGTAGACTAAGTCCGTCAGCATCATCTCACATTTTATAGAGGTGAATCACATGTCAGATATACTCAAATTTTCTGCCCAGGGTGTTCGGAAGACTGTATGAAAAATTAAGGAGGATTCAAAAATAAGGTAGTCGCATGAATCTGTGCACAGCAGTGATGCAGCACTTTCATTAATTTTGTGACGTAATAATGCTTGTGTCAGACGCTCGCATATGGTCTGGAGTTCGATCCCCGGCCACCGATGCACTCCTTTACCCCACTAAGCCAGAAATAATGCTGGTAAAGAGGAAAGGTTGGGCATGAGACTAGCAACCCCATCCTGTAAAAGTGAACACTGCTACAGAAACTTCAAGCCAATAGCTTGAAGCCCTATGTTGCACTGGGAACGTGAAGGAAAAACAAATAAATCTGAGCAATAAATTGTTTTTGAAACGTCATTCCTCATTAGTAAAGACCAATCGGTTAGTACAACTGTTAGTCATGTGATTATAATTGATATGATTATGAACAATAATAAATTTTGTTCCGAACGTCATCCAGTAAATAGTACTGTATCACTGTGTGATGCATCTAATAAACAAACTAATATTGAATTATGTTAGTTTCACTTGAATGATTTTTACTGTAAAATAACAGCAGAATTTTCCTATTTTTTTCTCTCGTCGAGTTGACTGGCGAAGCTCTGCAACTTCACTGCCCTAGAGTAGTAAAAAATTCTCGTAACACACAGACATATTTACATTGACTTCCAATAGGAGATCGTCATGGTCATTCTGCTTTCATGTGACCATTTGTATCAGATGACCGATAGTGTCATAATATCCTGTATCCTATTTATTGTTTTTTTGTTTCCGAATGCTTTAGTGTATGTGTGTGTGTGCGTACGCGCGTTTATTTTGAAATTAACCAATCAGAGTTTCCTGTTTCTCCATACATATATGTACATCTGTCGCTATGCTGATTACCTTAAATTGAAAATGCCTTTTTTAGATTTATTTTGTACGTTGACAGGTAATATTAGGCATAAACACACAAGCAAACGTATTGGTATACATACACTCATACATTTAGAGCCTTACTTAGTGTCTGTCCCTGCGTACACATCAGAAGGTTGTGTCTGTAATGATCTGTCTATTAACCTAATGAGTTTTTTGAATAGAAGTAATCCATCCTCCTACAGCTACTGTTAGCCTGTTGTGTATATGTGCGTGTGTGCGTGTGACATTTAAGAAGCATTGGATTTTCTCTAGGACTTTTTAAAATTCCTTTCTCTTAATCTCGTTGTTGTTGTTGCTGTGATGGTAATCACACACATAGACACGTGTACATACATACGTACGCGCTAGGTAAATGCATATATAATGCACAAGCGTACCAGAGAGAGAATGGTTGAATAAATAAGTAAATAAAACTCACTTATTCAGATCAGTTGAAGAAACAAAATTACGGCTTTGTCGGCGTATTGTAAAGGTGCGCATTTTCCGTGTTTTATTATTGTTATTATTATCATTATTGCTATTATTATGATACTTTTTTCAAATTACTTAATTGATATGCAAAGTGAAGTTGTTCCCTATAACAAAGTCATTACAGTATCAACAGCTATTATTGTTGTTATTATTATTATTGTCGTAACTTTTTGTCTAAAAAAACCCGTTTGTATCATTTTGTTATGATGAATTTATCATCTTGGGAACGGTAACATTTCCAAATGTGTTGGTTTGCAGTGATATAATGGGTTCCAAGATTGATCAAGAACACTTACCTTAGTTAGAGGACTATTGACAGCTGTTTCGTATTTGCTTGGGTCTCTTCAACAGTACACACTCATGACACTTAGATTACAGAATTAGCTTAATGCCCACCCAGCCAATTGGGTAGAATCCAATTACCATTATTTCTAACTTCTGTCAATTTGAGATATATCTGTTGCGTGGCTGCAAGTCACTGTCATTGGCGAGTATTGTCTTTCGCGTCCAACTTGGTGGAATGGATCCCATCGGTCACCACTTCCCACTGGGTGATTGGATTCCTTCTCTGTGGCTGACAGGTCGGCGGGTTAGCCTTATAACCCAGAGGTTCTCGATTCTATCTCTTCTGAAGAGTCCCACATCAGGACAAAACAGCTGTATTTTAGTACTTACTAGTGATCAGTCTTGAAAACAATAATATTGTCATTGTGGTCAGTAATGACTCTTGTAATGTTATAACAGCAGAAGGCAAGTCACGGAAGCCAAGATATATTTGCAAATGATCAAACCTCTGTTTATATAGATACAGTTTTACATTCTCTAACCAGTCATTGAGCGTGTGATTTTGGCTTACATTAAACGACATGAAATAGAATATATATATATATATATATATATATATATATATATATATATATATATAGTATTCTGTTGCTAACGCATTATTGAACTGTGGGAATATGTGAGAATCATATTCCGTTGGAACACATTGTCTGTATTAAATCACCGCAATGTGTTACTGTGACAAGGGCTTGTAAGCAGTATACTGCACGTGCGTACGTGATGTTCTCCGCAAGAATACTGAGTAGTACAGTGTTAGCAATTAAATGTTGCAAAGAGGAGGAATGATAATATACTTACTTATGAAACACTTCATAGAAAGTATGAAAACAAAGGAAGAAGGTTGTGAATAATATTTGCGAATTGATATTTGAATGTATATTATTATAATTATTATCCCCTAGAGTTAATGTGAATGAAAGGTAGGGGCTTCAGCGGTACATCTCTATTTCATCCTACTCCCTGCAGTTATTTTTAGCTGACTTCACGATTTCCCATAAGTATTCGCTTCCTCTTCATATGATTTACTCCGTGTCATCCTCTGACACACGTCCAATTTGTCGTTTCTCATTCGCGTTCCACTTGAGGGTCTGTCCGGCATGAGATGTGACGCAACCACCTTCTCAGTGTGTGTCCACTCCGTTTCCATTTCTTTCTGCATACTTCTTTGGTTCGTTGACAGAGTCCCTCTTTTTCTTATCCTTCTCAACTGGGCATTTAATCTTCAGTATGAGAAGACGATGTCATCTCTTAATGGAAGTTTGCAGTCTGTTTGAAATGGAATTTTAACGTAAGGTCTTTGTATTTCAAATATATAGTATTCAGTTTATATAATACCACTGTTGTTACCAACGCAGATTCGAGTCCCACCTGTGACACCAATTGTATCGACCGGATACAGATAGTATTTGGTAGTAGAATTATTTATTTAGCCAAAGACGGAAAGCATACATTGAAATTCCAGAAGTTATTCACAGCCTATTTGTTTTTTCTGCATGCTTTTTATGCTTTTTTGTTTTGTTTCACACAATCCCACTTGTCACCTTTTCAACCTAATCTTTGTCACTCTGTTATTTAAGATTCTTGCGGGGGACATCATACATTCACGCACGTACGCATACAATATGCTACATAAAAATTCTTGTCAGAGTAGCACACGCCGCATTACTACAACTATTGTTATTTTTAGAACTATACTATTAATTACCAATAACCTTTAATGTACTGTACTCTATACATCTATCAGGTTTCATTATGTATTTGTGTTGTGTTCATTGCTTGCTTTTAACAGCGAAAAAAGATCCGTATGCATTTGAAGATGATGAGAATGATGATACAGTGAATAGTTCTGCCAACACATTACTTCATTCGTCAGTAGTCTCCAGTGGACAAATCGGAATTCATTCTAATTGCAACAGTAGTGGTGGAGGCGGAGGTGCTGGCTTCATTGGTACAGTAACATCGACTAGATCAAATATTACTAATACCAGTCCTAATAATAGTGGCAATAGCCTGTTGTCAAAACAATCACGTCAAATCTCTTCATCTAATTTGTCTACTGTAGTAGAGTCTGGAAATACTAGTTCGGATAGTAATCATAGTTATAATACAACTGGTGGACCTCCACTTCGACTTCGGTTTGCTAAAGAAGCTGGACAATACACGTTGATGGAACAACAACAGCAACAACAGGTTGATTTGTCCTCATTGTCGAATTGTGATATGAATTCCAGTGGTGGAACAAATGAAGTGTCTAATTTCAATAGTATGAACGATAACAATACCAGTGGTGGAAGCAGTAACAATAACAATAATATTGCTAGTCATTTGGATAGTAATACTAATATTATTGACAACAGAAATGATCAAGACGTCGGTTTATTGGTGTCAATGAGAAGCGAACAGTTGACGGGACAAGAGGTAGATAATGTGAGTTTTGTTGTCGTTTATTGATTCATTTCGGTCACTTGAATTAAAATATATTACTACTGTCCATCAAGTTGCAGACAATAATAAAATTCAAGGCCTTCTGACTACATTGACTGGAATTCTTCGTATGCTTTCGGAATACCATCTGTCCGTGTCAAATGGAAGGATGGTACTCCAGGTCTAGTCTGAACAGATTCCTAGTTCAAAGATAGGTAGTAGTCAAGTGGTACAAATTTCCGACCACTTGGCTTACTTGAGAATTAGCATCAGCCCCAATTGGGACTCATTTCTGACAAAATTTCAACACAGATACAAAGAAGCCGATGTTGTAGTATTTTACGACCTGTATCATCTGTGGTATGTACATGATATCCGACCATCTGTCACAGGACGTGTGTAGTGCGCAACAGTCCACCCTATTCTTGTTTATGGCCGTTAGATATGCCTATGAATAATGGAAGATATGAAAAGGCCCGCTGTCTTTACTACAGGTGTTTGCATTCTATCATCCTTATTAAATAGCGAAATATGGTGAACAATATAGATGTTTGGCGTTTTGTACTAGGTAAGCAAGGGAAATCAGTCAACAAAGCTCTATAGCTATATTGATGGGCAGGTGGTTAGGGCCTTTATTGTGTCAGCGAGTGTTTCTCATACTTCTTGAGGTTGAGGCATTGCACGAGTGCTTTGTAATGATCAGTAGCAATATTGAATGTTGGGTTAAACACCACTTTCCTGGGAAAATTGTCTAGTTCTTCATTTGCCTTTTGCACCCTATTTCTCTAATAAGCGCAAATAATTGTCTGTTGTTGCGAAGACTTTTAGTCAGTTTGAGTTTGAGCAGCTTTCCCTTCTCACCATGGTCGGAGCCCGCCGTGATTAGACTTCATGTGTTGATCAATTCGAACAAAGCAGCAAAATTCAAGTGGTATTTCCTAATCTTCTGTTTTACGTTATCAGCAGCAGGCTATACCGCTGTACCTATAGCTGAGTAGGTATAATTCCAGGCTTCCTCAGGGTGAATCTTGCTTGTCAATCTCATATATACGTCTGTAAGGGTAGAAGATGACAGCCTTGGTAACGGATCTTTACCAAGAAAAACGCATCATATTTATACATTTTTAACCGTATTATAAGTCGGCTAGCTCCAGCTGACAATAAACTGTTCTGACTGGTTGGGAATTGACCCAAGGTTAAATGAGGTTGTCTAATGAGGTTATTTAGTGCCCACAACACCAGATAAATCCAGATTTGGGCAATAAACATTTCTACCTAAAGTGTCGATTTCAGTTTTGACCGCTTCCTATCAATTCGCATCACGCTACACGTCTAATTATTTCTTCTTTGAGTAGAAACATAGTATTCTCATCAAGTTGGGACGTGGTAGCTGCAGGGATCAAAACTATCGTTAATGGTTCAGCTGTATTCATTTTGTAATTTCATGTTTCTCCAGCATTTCTTTTGAATTTCTTATTCTATACTTTTCTTTGCTTATACATATAGTGTAGCAACTTAAACTTTCGCACATTTATGTAAAGTTTGATGTTGAAAAAATTTACCTAACATTGAGATTATCTATGTCCTCCTCTAAGAGCTAGAGATGTTATCTGTCTGGTTGCAAGTGTACAATCTGTGACCTATTGATTAAAATTGAAGTGTGAATCACTTCATTTTTTCTTGCTTCATGTACTTGTGCTTTCATATCACTGTTAGCCTGAATTATTTTCAAAGTGGATTTTCATAATACTGTGTCAGTCTCTGTTTTTTTTCTCTATTCGAGTTCTTTTGCCTGTTATTACTTTCACTCTTTATATTGAAGTAGTATGGTGTGATTCGTTAGGAAAATGTCGCCAATTGTTTTCAAAATGATATTGTAAGTGTTGTAATGGTTTTTCCTTGTTTTAAATTGTTAAGTGTTATCTTGTATTCTACGCTAGTGTCTCTCATTTATGTAACCCTGTCCATAGTTATAATGACTATTTATTTACTACGTTCCTAGTGGAACATAGGGCTTCAACAACATGTCTCTATTTTTACTCTATTCTGTGCCGTTGTTTTCTCCATCCCATCCTCTGTGACTTCTCACTGGCTTCCACTTATCCATGTTATTCTCGGACACCGATCTCGTCAATTTCCATTCTACTTTCACTCGACGACTTGCCATATCCTGTCACTTGGAAGTCTCTTCAGCTTATGCCCAAATCCATCACCTCCAGATGCGTATTTGTTGAACGATAGGTTGTTGTTAGCTGGTGCTCTGTCTGACAGAGTTCCTTAGTGCTTATCCTTTCAGACATTATATTGAACTAGTGAAGGTAGCTATTAATAAGAATCCCCAGCTGGCCTGGCCTGACTATTGGAAATGCTTTTGCTGAAGCGTTGGAAATTCGGATCTTGTACCTAGTGTTGAATGGTGTAGATCACTACAGCAAGGATGTTTTTGTTTATATTTTAAACTTTATATCTTGCATCTTCCGGTGTTTAAAAGTTTGTACTTGCATATTTTCCTACATAGATTTCTACATCATGTCAATCGGAATCATCAGGAGGTGAAGAGTCGTCGCAGAAAGTTCCACCTTTACGTATTAAGTTTGCGTCAGGCACATCCGGAGATAATGAATCCTCTGTAACCTCATTGTCAGCGTCAGTTAGTGCGCCTAGCGGATATTCCATCCATCTAAACAATTCTGATAGTCATAACAACAATGATAATAATGGTCTAGAAAATAATACGAATGACGAGGTAGATAGAAAGGATAAGTTTGATATTAAATCTCGACTATCTGTTGACGATGTCAGTCGAAGTGATGGTAAAGAGCTTGCAGCTTCCGTTTCAGCCAATACTCTCAATACAATCATCACTTCAAGTACATCAGAGAAAGAAAAAGTCGACAGAAGTCGTGATCATGGTTTAAGTCACCACTCCAAAACTCACAGATCTCATAGTCATAACACTACAGTGAATCCCAATACACCACAACATCCTGTTGACTCCAGTACAAGTTTGTCAACTTCTTCAAGTCCTGTACCTACAACCTGTTCTACTCCGACGACAACTACTGTCAACTCGACAGGCAATAGTGGTGTCGTTAGCAGTACAGGTACAGGTGGTTCAAGTCGTTCAAAGGCAGAAAGTACACAGGAGGCGAATAACAGTCATGCAAATAGTACCAGCAGCAGTCGGACAACTAACAGCAATAGAGAAACGGGGAAAGTAAGTTTAAGTGTGTTTATTTCGTTGCACTACAGCTAATTCTAATGACAGAGGATAGTCTTTTGGTATGAGCTTATGGACCCGCAGTTAATGAAATTATAGATAGACCTGGCTAATTAATTAATGCTATCGTAACTTCAGTAGATAGCAAATTTCTTAATGAGGTGGTGGTGACTAATTTACAAGTGCATAACGTCAGGCAGAAAGAATTTCGTATGAATTTGAATCATTATGTCAGCTAGTTGACTGATTTGGTGAACAGGTCTTTTATTTTGCATGTTGAACATCGACCACGTCTAGATGAAATCGTTTTCGAACCTTTTTCGTATTTAATTCGTGCATTTTGAAGTATGTATTTAGTATATAGAAAGTAAGTGATGAGTTACATTTTGGCGTTGAGTAGTATATAGACGCAAGTATGTTGAATAGCTGAGGGACGGTTTGAAGATGGCGATGGAAAAAAAGGAACAATTCTCGTGAGATAACAACTTGGAAAATATGAAAGGGCGACGACAACAAAAAAAACAATTCCGTTACCGAATACTGTTGTGTTCTGTCGTTATACAGAGAGGGTGTATCTCATCACTCTTGGCGTCATTTCGATAACTAGGTTTTATTGAAACTAAAATCTCAGTTAATCAGTTGTGAAAGTTTCTTTTCGGAGCCTTCTCACATTTAGGTTAATGGGTATATTTAATTGATTATTTCGATTTACATTTTGTTTAGGAGACGCATCGACATCGTAGTGGGCGTACATTGCGTTCACATACAGCCGCTCAACGTGAAAAGGAGGAAAAGGAACGTCATAGTGAGTGGTTGTTAATTTTTAAAAACTTCATTCAAGTATATTATTGCGTGGAGTGTGTTTAACTTGAAATTTGTGTGTGCAAACACTATATCTAAGTGTTGGTTTGTAGGGATTTGATTGGTTTCAGGATTTCATCATGAGCTGACGTTAGTTGGAGAACCATTGGAAAACCTGGGAGTACTGGACAGTTGTTTCGTCCTAGTTTAGGACTCTTCAACGGTACGCACCCACCGGGGTTCGAACCCAGGACCTTCCGGTTACAATGCGAGCTGGGAAGTCGTGACCAGTAGGGTGCAACGGGTCTGGTGTGAGGAAAAATACTCGCCGAAGACATTGGCTGGCGGTCGCGCTATGTCGTGAATTGGCAGAAGTTAGAATTCATTGGCCGGCCATTGGATCGGGTCCCAGTGGCTTAATGGTATACAAGCTCACCTTGTAACCTGAAGGTCCTGGGTTCGACCTGTAGTGGTGGGTGCGTACTGATGAAGAGTCCCAAACTAGGACGAAACAGCTGTCCAGTACTCCCAAGTTTTCCAATGGTTCTCTAACTAATGTCAGCTCATGACGAAATCCTGAAACACTTTATCATTTGATTGTGTACATTCTACAAAAGCATAGTAAGAGCTGACGAAATCTCAGCACAGATACAATTGACTCGTGTGTCATCTCTGACGTAGACGTAATATCCAGTTATTGATCAAACGACGTATGTATTGCGCAGCAGTCCTCTCTTTCCTTCTTTATAGATTTGAAACCTAACCACTGAAAGTAAAAGACTTGGACAACCTGGCTATCTATGACCGTAGGTGTTCACGCCATATCTCTCTTGTAAATTGATATAGATATGCTAGTTAGGCATAGAGTATTAAGTAAGGGGCACTCTAATCGATGAGTATGTTGAAGCCTCATCGTTTTAGATGACTGGGATATGTGTCATGTATGGTGAGCCACTGTGTAAACAGGTATAGACTGCCTGATTGGGATTCTCGGGATGCTAAGAACCAATGGGGGAGAGAGAGAGTGTGTGTGTTTTAGACATAGCTCGAAAATGTTTTCACCAGCACAGATGAATTCTCTTTTTTTAATCTTTAACATATTCATTAAATCCGCAGGTTTTTTCATGTTCCTAGTGTTTCTCCCACACAAATCTACTCATTATAGTTCCCCTGAATTTCTTTTTTCTCTCTTTTATATACGTTTGCATGCTACGTGAGGTATGGCAACTCGAACTAGTGCATTTCATCAGAATATAAATTTAGTTACTTAGTTATCTGAAATTCACAAGAATTATGTCGACCTGCACAATAATAAATGTGTCTGACAGCTTGATACTTCTTTGTTCATGTAGTTAAACATAGTTATGGTTAGGTTTCTTTTTTCCTTCATGTTCCCAGTGCAACATACGGCTTCAAGCTAGTGGCTTGGAGTTTCTGTAGCAGTGTTTATTTTTTTACAGGATGGGGTTGCCAGCTTCATGCCCAACCTTTCCTCTTTACCAGCATTATTTCTGGCTTAGTGAGGTAAATGAGTGCGTCGGTGGCCGGGGATCGAACCCCGGACCATGAGCATGGTTGGCGAGTGTCCTAAACACTATGCCACCGATGCAGGTTAGGTTAGGGGTAGTATATAAGGCTTGTAAGCCGTACCAAATTATATAAAGTCTAGTGATACAACTCATTCGCTTAGTCTGATTTCGGTAAAATGAGACACGAACCTATCTGACCCACTGACTCGAATGCTTATGTCAAATTAGTCACATCCTTACATTTGACGTTATTACTTTATTACTTCCATTGTTGTAGCCCCATACATTTCTGCTTGGTGATTTCTGTATCAGTGCTAATTTTGTTGGAGTTTTGACTCAGGGGTTTAGGTGGCGGATTTCCAAACCGTAGGTCACGGGTTAGAATCCCACTCTGTCTACGGCGGTTTTAGCAACCAGGTAATATTACTGGTGCTGAAACAATAGGTGTGGCTCATCACCAATTGCTGGAGATGATAACGTGTTTTTTGGATGAAGTGTCATTATTCTGCTTGGTCGATAAGTCTGTAAGGTTGCTGATGCTTCATATTGATTACTTTCCAGAATTTTAAGATTGTACATTTTTAATGGATCCGATGCTTGGTGGTGATGCAATGTCTATGTGTACATATTTCATCTACTCTCTTTGTTAGCTGATGACACTAGTCCAATTAAAAAGCGCAAACTGCGCTCAAGGTCAGACGCTTCAAGTCACGACAGTAATACTACTACTAATAACAACAGCAATTCACAGAATCGTGGGAATACTGCAGGTGGGAATGATAATAGTTCATCTGCAGTTACCACTACCCACTCTGGATCCACGCCTACTTCCAGTGTTTCATCGTCTACAAATACCGCTGTTGTCAATACAGAAGTAAGTAACGATCTACCCCTAACATCGAGTACTACTATCCCCCAGGTTGATACTCCTATGACTAATGAAGAGAAAAAACCACCAGTTGTCAATACTCAGACAGTAATTACCGACGAAGACACTGATGTACCTATGCCAGATGTTTCTGAATTAGAACAAAAGCCTGTAAGTATGGATGTCGATGTTAAATCTGAGACATGTGGTTCGCCTGCCTCAGTTGCCACACTCAGTATGGATACAACGACTAATATGGATGTACAAGTGCCATCAACAATCACACCCCCGTCATTGTCGTCATCAGTGTCAATAACAACAACACCAGCAGTAACCATGCCCACAGCATCAGTGGAACAGTCAGGAGGGTGTCAGGGTGAAGCAGATACGAATGTGGATTATTTACTGTGTCCTGCTGGTCCTGGAGACGAGGATCGGAAAGATATTGAGCTGCTTAAATTTCAAAATCCTTATGAGAAAGCAGCTGAATTGAATAAAGGTGTAAGTTGTATTTATTGCATTATACAAGTGTGAAGCGGTTTCTTTTGTATATCTATCAGATATTTGTTTGCTGTTGGTTTCAGTGCAAATTTATTTTTATTTGATTTTGATTTTTGATCACAGCTTGGTCCCACACCGTATTTTTGGTACAAGTATGAAATTTTCAGCGTGGATATCAGTGGCCCAAAATTCGCAGGCCGACCATAGATATCAGGTGTGCGTCGGCGAGGGCTCGAACCCCGGACCATGTGCATGGTCGGCGAGAGTCCTAACCACTGTTTTGTTTATTACAATACCAACGTGGTATATATTGTAGGTAATAACTAACTAAGAGATGCACTACACAGATGGTGAGATGGCTGCTGGGATACTGCCCGAGTGACCAGACTAAAGCGAATGACTGTCTCAAAGGGTCACACACCGAGCCTTTAATTTGAATTCTGATCCACTAGGAAGTAGAGCTGCGTTCCCATGCTTGACGGTGACCAAAGCACGTTTGTACGGATTCCACGTCTACTATTGGATTGGAATCAGGATTTTCCGGATGCCTGAGTATAGACCTGAATTTCCACCAGTCCCGTTGTATATGTTAGATGTTCGCATTAACCACTTCACTTTTGTGATAAACATACCTGCGCTGCGTGAAGGCAGTGAATATGACTTATTTGACAGAGAGAGTATGAAAGCATAGTGACATGAGAGGATATCTAAAGGAGGACCGAAGTCTATATATTATTTTTTTGTTTACCTTTTTAGGTTTGTTATAATAATTCTATCCTACCTGTCATCACTGTTGTTGTATTTTAGTTACGTGAACTTGTAAAGAATCTTGTGAAAGTTCATCCCAAAGCACCGTGTGGTTATCAAGACTATCTTCTAGTTACGCGTAACTACCTGTTGGCCGGTCAACCGTCTTTTGCTACTTATATGAAACGTGTAAGTTATCAATATTTTTACTGATGCATTTCTTTGAATTCTAACTATACGGTCGCTTGAATTTGTTTATGCTGTATATGGTTAATGCCTCCATACCTATAGTGTTTCTTCGTCTTCTTAACATAATCATTGGAGATGATTTAAACATGCCTGAAGTCTCACGGCAGCCGGTCAGTGCACCTCCCCGATACAGTAGATTATTAAATGCTGTGGAGCTATGCGGGTAGACAACTATTCTAAAGCTCATGCGAAATCACAATACACTGGAATTTGTTGTCTGGCTTTTTTTGAAAGACATCACCCTATCTATCATACACATCAGTTACCTATTGCCAGGTAGTGACCATAACACCATAATCTGCTCCTTCAATACTGAGCTTCACTCGATGGTCTCAGTGTTTGTTCCATCCACCTCCATTTCCTACTGCATTTTTGTTGGCCGATAGGGTGTTGGCTGGTGGTACTTTGCCTGGTAGAGTTCCTCGTTACTTATTCTTTCAGACTTACTATCCGATATTCATTATCGAGCCAGTGAAAGCAGTTGTTGATTGAAGTCTGCAGTAGTAAGCTGTCAGAAATACCTTTGGCAACTTGTGCACCAAGTCTCTGAACTATGCCGAAGCACTGATTGACTTGATACCAGTGTTAAACAAGCGGATCTTGTTTCTGATAGTGAGTTCAGCACAATCCCCCACTGATTTCCCAGTAATGAGGACTTGTCTTACTTTTCCCACTCTAGTTGATTTTGTTATCATCATTTCTCTCGCCTGTAATTGCAAATATGCTGTCTAGAGGTGACTCCCTTCAAATTTCCCCCATTGGTAGTGACTGATACTCATTGCTGTTAAGGTGTCTTCATTAATTTCGTCTTCTGTGTGTTCACTTTAAGTCCTGTCTGTGCTTGTTAGTTTCACGTGTATATCTTCACGTTTTGGTGTGTGACACAAACTGTTTGGAATGTCTAGACCTGCTAAAGTCTTCTTGTTAATCAAATGTTTATACATCTTCTTGTTTCCCATGGTGTGCCACATGATCCCGATGATCCACGATCAGGAATATCGTTGGTGATAGTAAGCAGCCTTGTCTTATTCCTGTTTTGCAGGAACACTACTGTTGTTATTCTGCATCAGCAACTATAAAGTTGTGTTTCACTTGAATTTTGGCCAAATAGGGGATAACGAGCTAGTAGACTTCACTATCTTCTGGCGTTTCACAGAACCAAGTGTTGATTTGCAAGGACTTTACTGATTTCAATTTTCGGAGTTTCGTTGCAGCTAATTATCAAGTGTGTGTGTGTGTGTGTGTGAAGTAAACGTTACATTTTTTTATCGTCTGTTATTATTTTTATTTCTGTAATCGGTAATGGATTCTTTCACCAGTAATAATTATAATCCTTTCTATTTAAATGTGTTGGGGGAAGTGGGTGGGATTGCCAAGAATTAATAAACCAGCTTGTTCGCTATGGTTTTGACTGACCACCTCACAACATCGATTAGTTTGAAATCTGAATTTTTGTGTCCCTGTCAATCATTGTGGAGTAAAAACTTTTATATTACTTATATATTTCAGTTACCACCAGGTAATTTGGAACCAGCTTTTGTTGAATTATTCAATGAACAAGAAGAAGAACGTTATGCTCAAGCATTGAAGCATCAGTCCGAACGGGTAGGTGATTATATTATCTTGTATACATGTATGTATGTGTATATGTGCCTCAGGATATCTAGCTACATTTGGTTAACGGTATAGTCAGAGATCGAGAGGTGTGGACTCATCAATGATGTGAAAGCATACTTTTCGTCAGATAACAGGACCTGCGGTTATTTCAGCGTCACTAAGTAGTTATCGATCCCCTTACTAGAACCCAAACTAATTTATTGAAGGGTTTCTGGGGAAGACTGTCAAATAGGATAAGAGCGATAAACGAATCATGAAAGGAATTCATCTTCAGTCACCTTAATGATTACATATACAGTTAATGTTCTAACCTAAAAGCTGATGCTTCTCATGGTAATTAGAAGATATCTATAAGTCATGTCACGGAAAGATATGCTGCTTAGTGTGTTTTATGACTATTCTCTGTATTTTCCTCTGGTAAATAAACGTCTTTTTGTGTTAAGACCCACTAGTTTTTCTGACTGGTCGTCTCAAGGTCAGTCGTGCGTTCGCATTCAATGGATCATTATAGTTTAACTTTGCCGTATAGTTTAGGCGGCTTATATAACTAACAAGTACTATCGCAAATTTTTGTATTTACTTTTATCGAAGTTGGCATTTAAGCGTAGAATCGATTGCTTGCTTGTTTATGGTTATATATATGATTATTCAGCTTAACTTTCAGTCAGTTACACCTTACTCCGATTTGCACTGAATAGTAGTCATTTTTACTTATCTAGTCCTTAATATGTCGCTGTTGTTGTTTGAAATCGGCCTATCAGATGTGTGAGGATATGATCACCATGCTAAATGACATAACTGACGTTCTTGTGCACTGTTATGATTTCTTTGTTTCACCTAATATATTATTAAGATGTGAAACAGAATGCTACAGTTTCGTTACCACTCAGCTACATGACGACATAAATTACTTGATCGATCGATTTCGCTATACACCAAGCGAGTGAGCAGTTAGCAACTGAATGACTCGAAAACACTAAGTCAATTGTAATTTCCGTGCTGCGGTGAGAAAAATTTTACCGGTCGTACTGAATGATGGAGGATAATATACTTCCTCTTGATCTCAGAGGTGAATGGCACTGGAAAGTTCATGGGGGCGAGAGAGTGTCGTAGTTGTTGATTTTATGGTTAAAGTGTCGTGATCTAAATAAATAATGGAAACCATTCATTTGGTACTGTCTCGTGTGTGTGTATATATAGTTTCGTACAAAATTTTTCCTGTGAAACAACTTTTGCTTAAATTGGTTTAGAAACACAAAGTAGTTAAAAAGTGTTCAACTTTTCGAAATATTCCCAAGTACAAACATGTCGTTTGAGTGTAAATACTTTTAGTTGAATCACCAAAGAATTATAGGTTAGAAAAAGGTTAGTTATCCGTGATCACATCAAAGCCTAGTATCAATTCATTAAGTCTTTCACTTTTGGTTCCAGTCAGACATATGCCCCTGGTTGGCGTCTTTCAGTTGCTAAGATCCAACATCTTGGGATTGTTGTTGATGTGGTTTTGGAAATCGTTTACAATCACTCTCTATAAACTCATAGATCCTTCAAACTCTTGTATTAGTCTTCATGTTGTTATTTTTTCTTCTGTATATTTCTATTCGTTATACTTTTTTTTTGAGTTTTTATTCTCCACTGAATTTCAACAAAGATCTTTACATCTAAGTACAAGCAGTTCAATTCACCAAACTGCATATATAATACACAACTATAGAGAAAAGAGAGGTATAAGGTATTCAAAAGAACTGTAACGAGTAGTAGAGTCATGTGCAGAAGAGAAAATTATAACGTAGAAAAGTATAATGCTTTAGTGGAGATGAGAGAACATAATTGGTTGGTACATTTACACCATTGGCAATGATTACGAGGTATATCAACAACACTCTCAAGCTAGTGTTGTTTCTTAGAATCCACAGAACCACAGAAGTCAGTCAGGTAGTCTAAACCTCCTTAGATGGTCAGCTCAAACCAATTCTCAGATTACCTTTGTGTCCTGTGTGGAATTTGAGAACAAAAACAGATTTATAGTATAAGTAATTTCACCTTATCAATTTGAGGAGCTAAATAACTTTCTCACCCCTGTATAAAATTATGCACCACTGATTGATTGATATGAGTATACCAGTCACGTCAATTAAGTAGTGCTTGCTAACTAGGTCAAAATTGGTCTAAACGCCGGGTGGCCGTTCCCCTCGTTTGGCATCCGAGCTTGTTAGTGTGGTGTACTGAACTCGGGTTGACTGAATTTAGAGCTGAATCAGTTCAGATGGCCTTTCGGATGAACTGGTGATACCAAAAGTGCAAATTAATTAAGCAGTTTGCATAGTTCGAGTTTCCTATGCAAACCGAAATCATTCAGATCACAGTCTATGTGCTTTGCTTGATACGATAAATGGGGTAATCAAGAAAACAAGTAGTGCCGCAAATCTTTATCCACCCTCAATCAATGCTACATGTCAAGTGTGATCCACAGTCGAGAACTCAAAGAAACGTTTGAAGTGAAGACAGGAGTGAGACAAGACTGGTGATATGAAGATAACCAGTCAGCAAAAGTAACACGCACCAATCCCTATCAACCGGAGGAATTCGAAAGAGGTTACTTCATTCACTTATCTGGGAAGCATTGCCTCAACTCCGGACGAAACGAATGAGGAAGTTGAAGCGTGAATCAAAAAAATGCAAGGCACGCCCTCATCACTCTGAAATCAGCTTGAAAATCTTCTCTAATGCACAGCATGAACAAGATTTAAATTTTCAATATCACAGTAACTCGTCGTGTCACGAAAGGCCATTTCCCCAACAGGTTACTGCAGACTTTTGTCAACAGCTGCCTGCATTAACTCCATATTAAAAATCAGATGACCTGAAGAAATTAGCAACATGAAGCTCTGCAGACAAACCAATCAAGAATCTATTACTCAAAAAATATACCGAAGCGAATGGTACTGCACCAGACACACACTGAGTAGACTGTTGGGCGACGACATCTGTCTCCAGATCACCTCTGGAGTGTAACTCGAACGAGAAATGGAGAGTCTGACTTCTGATGTTGGCATGGAAGCGATCGTGTGAGGAGGACATTAGAACCTATGGAAAATTGTTGGGTCAGTGAATCGGACAAGGTAGAAATGAGCTGTTGACCCCCCTATGTCCATCCCACTTGGAATCCAAAGGAACAATAATTAAGAAAGCATATATGAATGCATAGACCTGTATACTACTGATTGAATGGCTGTATACCATTCACATCAACCAGAAGTGTGGTATCATGCAGATCTCATATATTATAGTCTGAATAATAATTGTGGTTTTGTAAAGAAACTGGTGAAATCTCACCTAACACTGTGTAATTTGCGAATATGATATACTTCTTTGTTCTCTACGGTTCAACATATATATATATATATATGGAGAGATAGACTGCAAGTATGCACAGCACTAGTTCAACTCCTATTCACATTATTAACCTGGAGGAGAATGTGTGATGTCTTGCATGTAATTCGCTATTACACGTTTTCTTCAGTATAGTAATATGAATCATAATAGTGTTATAATTTATCATCTATGTATGACATAATCCGATAAACAACAAAGAAAATAAGTATGTTTTAGAAAGAGGTGGTGAGGGGGAGGGGAGAAGGAGTAAACATTTATAATGCATTTAATTGCAGAGAAGAACAAAAACAGCCACTCTAAATTTGTCAGTAAAATCTTCATATTCAGCATTCGTTCATGCCGTCAGATGATAACACATTTAAAAAGACATACCGAACATTTGTTATTTGGAGAGAGAGAGAAAAACAGAAAAAAAAACGGTTACAGAGAAGAAACAAAAGGGTTGTTTTTCACAAAGACATCAACATTCGTGCATATATATATATATATATATACATATAATAATGGGGTTGAGAGAGCACCGGAACTATATCCAGTCGACGGTCAAATTATGATGATATGAAAATTATGTAACACAAACAAATAGGGATTAGAAACATAATAATAAGCAAAATTGACAAGAATTTTGGACAAAAGAAAGCATAATTGGATAAGGAATTATCGAGAAGACTGATTGATTGTATGTGACAACGAACATTGAGCATTTTTACTATTGTATACATGCGTTGACAGGAATTTCTGCATCGTTAGTGCATCACCTCTCCTGCCAGATATCTTGGCCTCAATCTTTGTCAATAGTTTAATCGGATGTTGTATAAGGACTTTGAAGGATATCTCAAATGGTACTGGGTGTTTAGTAGATGTTCTCTTACCAAGTTATAAACACGCCTACATTCCCCTTTAGTTAGCCTAGCCGTATAGTGTCCCGGATTGTATGCAGGGTACAGTCAATGTACTCAGCTCGGTGTATGTGTGTTTGATGTAACCCAATGCAACAGCTTGTCTTTCATGTGCTGCTGACCTATGATCAAATGCGTATATCCCACAATTTGTTATTTAAACAAAAGGCAAAATAATCAAATGATCACAAGTGTTTTCTACCATTCTCGTCAGCTGAACTATCAGTTAAACAGCTGGTGTGTGCTCTGGCATAATAAATATTAGTTTGGGGGCAAGTACTGCTGAAAAGTCTCAAAATAGAGACTAAAACAAATATCCGGTGCTCCGTGGTGGCTTTTAGTGAATCATACAAGAAAACTTTTAATTGAGAAGTATCACTCTCCAGTTCCAGGATGGGTATTCTAAGATTTCCATGAAAAGTTGTGACCAGTGATGTTAAGGTGGTTGAAGTAGATAGACACTCATCGGTGACATTGGTTAGAGCTGCACAGAAACTACCACTTGTATGATTGACAAAGTCTTCAACTTGGGACTTTGCAGCAATTCAAATGTCCACGTTTCACATACCACTTAAAGGTAGAGAAAAAGTCTCCAAAGGAAAGAAAACATGTTAGAAAAAGAATAAACACATGGAAGAGAATGAAAATTTGATGCATCCTAGCAGGTGAAAAGCTGATTGGAAGTGGCGACACCGAAGATAGTAAAGCCGGTAAAAGTTAAACACGAAAGTCTAGGTATAAAATTAAAATCAAAAGGAACACGTCGCTGGAACTGTAGTTGTATTCTGTAATAATTTGTGCAAAAGCTTCTATACTGCCTGGGTACCCAGACTGAAGCAGATAGTTGTCTTAAGAGATCACCCCTCAAGTCTTTGATTTGTACCCTGATCCACAAGGCATCGCAACAGTTTCAGGAGCTGCGTCCCCAAAACAGGTTTATACACCATTTGATCCTTTCGGATACTGCAGCCTATGTATACCATAGGTTTGGAATCAAGCTTTCCTGGATAGATTTGGATGTTCACCAGTCCGGTTGTAAGTGCCAGACGTTATCCTATGGCGTGAAGGCAGTGAACAGGGAATACCTGACAGAAACTATGGACGTGTGGTCACATGAAAACATTTGTAGAGGAAGTCGGAAGTCTGTCCGCTCTGAGCCTTACCAGGCAGTTTGGCAATTTGTTCCTCTCTGCCTGTACAACAAGCTCCCCCCTGTTCATGGAAACTGGGTTTTTTCAGTCGAGTGTATTTGAGTTACACATGTAGTTTCGGATATGATTCCCGGGTGACAGACTGCTAAACCTCACCTAACCGTTGTTAGGCCAGGTAGAAAGGGAAGGTTGAGCTTGAGGCTAGCAACTCCATTCTCTAAAATTCAGATAGCATTACTTCTATTGAAACTTCAAGTCCTGAAGATATTCAGTGCGCAATAAGTGAATGAATGTTTATCTGCGTCTTTGCATTAATGTTTGTATGGTTTTGACGCACTTTTGTTGTCATTATTATTATTTTTCCAATAACCAATTATAGGAACACCTTCAGTTGGGAGCAGAACAAGCTGTTCTACGTGCTCAAACACGTGGGGCTTTAGCAGTTGCCAATCAATCGAAACCCTATTCATTTTGTTCCATATTATCTTATAACGATTTAACATATATACCACCAGTCGGAAAAGAAGATAATCGGGTAAGTATTCTTCAAGCCTAAAATGTCTGTTTATTTTTCATTTGTGAATAAAGTGCACTATCACAGTGATTATGAGAACGTCAACAGGTGATAAATAATGGGTTGAATAACATTAGTTAAATATACTCTTTGGATTTTTATGTAGATTTCGTTACGAACCAACAAATCAGTTGGATAATCATTGAAAGCCCTCAGGGGGAGCATTGGACAACTGTTCCGCCCCTACTTAAAACGCTTCAGGAGTGCGCACCCATGAACACAGAGATAGAACCTTGGATCTTAAACAACTTGTGCGAAAACGCAAATGCTCCATGAATTCCAGTATCGATAAATTTTTGGTATAGGTCTATAGCGAACCAATCGTTCTCAGTGAGGATCCACTTCACATCTGATATGTTAGAACCCACTGACAACGAATTCTCATTACTACTTTAGGGTATACACCCAGTAGTAGTAGTAGTAGTAGTAGTAGGCAATATAATTGGGATTATGCGTTTTGTTGGTGATGGTGTTTGGCTTTCAGTGATTCTCTAACTGATTTGTTGGATCGTGACGAAGTCTACTTTAAAATCAATATAAATCTCTACAGAAACCTTATAATCAAAATAACACTGTGGTTAGATGTTGAATTGAATAATCTTGTTTTTTGACTCAATAGTTATTTATGCTATAAGGCAGATGATATAGTCGCACTGTTTATTATTTACTTTTAATGGAGACTTCTGAAAATACCTTGACCACAAATCTGCTAGTGTGTTTGGCAACATATAGAGGAGATTTGTAGCCTAGATGGATGGTTTTCATCTGGTTGATTTTAATCCCTAAGCTTTCATTATTCTTTTAGATAACATCTTCAACGTTGGCTGTAATATGACATAAAGCTGTTTGAATTCCCCAATAAACGATGATATAATTGTCCCTCCTGACAATTGTTGTCGTGATTAGTTGGTCAATTTACATCTCTAGTGATCATTTTTATTCACTTGGAATTTGAACTTTCTTGTCGTGTGATTTATGTTTTTTTCTATCAGTTCGTAAATTTGGTCTATAGTTATGTGTTTGTTAGTCGCTGAGTATTCATTTGAGTGCCAGGCTTTTAGAAATTCCCTGATTGCATTTTTAGTGTTTCCTCTGTTTAAATGGTGAGGTGAAACCTGACAATTGAAATTACTTAGTGATATATTTTAACAATAAAGTACATAACTGATCATACAAAAAGGCAAACATGACACTATAATTGATATAAGAATAAAACTTGTGCACTGTGGTAGAGTGTAATTCCATTATGGGTAAATTTTGTTTTGATAAAGTCTCACAGTGTTATACAGTAATGTTTACTGATGACGTTTCAAGCACAATTTATTACAGCTCATAATCATATCAAGATAATCACACGACTTCCTAACTTCATTTATATAGTTCCATTATTTTTCACTTCAGTTGATTGGTAGTAATATTTTCCATATTTCCGGTATGGGTGATGACTTATTCCTATTGCATGTGTTGTGTGTAGACTCGATGAAGAAGGATTCAGTAATCAATATCTCTCTCTCCATCTACCTAGATTACTTTTTAGAATTTTAATCCTATCCCAGCCTATTGTGTGGTTGTGTGTTAATGCATGCAGTGTAATGTAGTGCTGAGCTTTTTTCTAGATTACTTATCTTCTCGGGGTCAACCATTGTCAGAGCATAAGAATTTAGCTAAGGTAAGAATGGTTGACCCCGAGAAGATAAGTAATTTAGAAAAAAGCTCAGCAATTGCAATGCATGCGCTAACACACAACCACACAATAGGGTGGGAGAGGGTTAAAATTCTAAAAAGTAATCTAGGTAGGTGGAGAGAGAGGTTGATTACTGAATCCTTGTTCATCGAGTCTACACCCAACACATGCAATAGGAATGACTCGTCACTCATACCTGAAATATGGAAAATACTATTACCAATCAAATCAAGTGAAAATCAAGAGAAAAACAATGGAACTATATAAATGAATTTAGGAAGTCGTGTGATTACCTTGATATGATTATGAGCTGTAATAAATTGTGCTCGAAATGTCATCAGTAAACATTACTGTATAACACTGTGAGACTTTATCAAAACAAAATTTACCCATAATGGAATGGCACTATAATACCACCAAGCAGAATGCCATAAAACTATCACTGGCTCAAACAATAGTCAAAAGAATAAGCAGTGATAAGAATAATACTTTTCTATCATGGAACCTGGCATAGAAGTTCACCAGTCCAAGTTGTCACACTTCCTATTCCACACTAAGGTGAAGAAGACGAGAGAAAGAGAGAAAAGAAAAGAAATTTAAAAGGACTATATAATAGGCAGAAATGTGAGGGAGAAAGAATAGTAACATCGAAAATATGGTGGTTTAATTGATATTGGAGATCACAGAGAGTTTTGATGTGGTTGTGTTCTCTGAGCTGGATGGTTAATTTGCGAAGCTTTCATCACCCTACTGGGTGACATCTTCAGCGCATACTTCAATTTGAACTGAGCTTTTAGATTTCTCCACGAGTTTATTAATCATCTCTCCTGTTGACCTTGGACGTGATTGGTTGTTTTTGTGTGTTTTCACATCTGCTTGGTTACTTGTATTGGAACTGACTGTTTCTTTGATTTAAACTTTGACCCTTTGTGTGTGAGGTTTCTTTTTTATCGGTTGATAAATTTTGTCTATCTCGATGTGTCTATTGATTGATGATTCACTGGAATGCCAAGCTTCTAAAAATTCCCTAGCATTCTTGTTATTTCCTTTGTCTAATATTTGAACGTTGTCCCAGTCGAATTGATGTCCGTGGTTGTCTGTGTGTAGTGAAATGAGGGAGTGGATATCATGTCTTTTGACGGCTAACTTATGTTCGTGGACACAAAGACGAAGGGGACGTCCACTTTGAACAATGTGGTGTTTTCCGCAGTTGTTACAATTTATTTTGTAGATGATGTTGGTTTTATCTTCTTTCGTCGTTGAGTCTTTTGGTTGACATAGAATTGAGTGAAGCGACTTTCTTGGTTTGTGTACGACGTCAATTCCTAAAGGTTTGAAGAGTCTTGTAGTGATTTCTGAGATATCCTTTATGTATGGTAAGTCGATTTTCTCTGTGCTTTCCTTGGTGGCTTTTGCTTTGATAGGTTGGCTTGGGGGTATATGTCTTTTGATGAAACTCCGTGGATATCCATTCTTTTGGAAGACGTACTTGAGATACTTTTCTGCAAGGAGTCCTTGCTCTCTTGAATAGTGTTTGTATGCAATTCCTTTTGTGTGTTATTGCGTTGTTGCTGTTGTAATTCAGTATTTGGTCTGTGTGAGTTGATTTCCTATAAACTTGAGTTTCTAATTCTCCTGCGGTTGTTCGCCTGTCCTGCAAGCCATCTCAGTCGATTTTTCTTTCTACCTAACACTTCATGCATACTGTCAATATTGCTCACCATAGGTTTTTATCTAATAAATACTGCTACTGCTGCTGTATATCCTTCTACATATATAATTCATTCTTTTTTGTTAATTTACTTAACATAGGAAGAAGAAACTGTTCGTGGTCGTTTCACACCGGGTACATTTATCGGTTGGCTTCATGATATAATTGATACATATCAAAGCGAAAAGGTAAAAATTAACGTCTGCATACCCTTCCATAGTACTTACTTTCTGCTGTCCCTACCGATAGCTTCTACCTAGTTCTGGTAGTCAGGCTTACATATCGCTATGACCCAAAAAGCTACACTGGCTGGAGCTAATTTTCTTGCGTGTCCTACCATGGCAGAAAGGCTGTTAGGATAGCGATTAGACTAAAAGCAGTTACCCTAATAGTGTAAGATGTGTACACTATTCTGGAGATATGTGAGCGAAGTTGTCCTCCTGAGGAATCGCGAATGTAACAGTAGTAAGGTCTGTTTCCCTCAGATGACCAACATGCCAGCCAGCTATGCTTGCCTCTCCACTCTACAGATATGGGTTAGGAAAGGTTGACCCGAAAAACTGTACATCCCGACTCACACTACGATAGCCTGTAACCGGTGGTAAGTTCTTAATGCGAACAGAACTCTGTGCGTGGCCTACCTCAAGCAGACGTCCCTCAGGCTCTGAGGGCACGCAGCAGTAATTCTCCTTCCATTTCAGATATCCTAAAATAAATCAACTTCCACGGTGTGGACAACGGGGGAGTAGCAGCCACTCACCCACCCACACACTCTGTTTTGTTATAATTTGATTAAGAGTTTAACTCTGTTGTCCGATTGTGATGTAAGCACTTTAAAATTATAGTTCTGATGTGTTTTCAGTCTAGCACATTTATTACTCACTGAAAAATTCTCTACTGTGATCATAGTAATACGTTTATGGCATTTATGGCAGTGAAATTAAAAGACAATCTAGCGAACAGAATTCTCTTCATCGATGAAGTTATCTTCAGTGACTGTACAATCGTATTAATTTTATTCGAATGGATTGCTGTCTGTCATTGAGTAGTAGGAGTGTGTGTGTGTGTGTATGTGACATGGCTTCTCGGATGACATGGTCTCTACAGATTAAAGAATCACGTAATAGTAGACCGACGCAACAGAAATTTTCATAAGAATGGCAAGCAAAAGTTAGTTGATTGTCCACTTGATAAGTGTGAAGAGAGGATGAGGAACATGCAAAACTGATGACAATGGTGAATTAATTACTAAAAATAGAAGCGAAATGTTAGGAAAGAGATTAAAACCATGGTAGTATAAGTTGACTGAGCAAATTGTGTCTGCACACAAAGTCCGGGGTTATATCAATGAGTCATTAGCGCCTCCGTCATACACAAAAATATACAAAACCTCAAACCCTTGTTCCGTCCTTCTTGACTTTGTAAGTCATTTTAAAGAGAACTCCTGTGGGAACTGTGCAGTCCAATTGTGCTAGTAATTTTCTTAACCCCTTCCCCCCGCCCTATTGAGTCATAGAAAAGAAAACACATTCAGCAAAGAGTTACTCTTTTCAGCGATTAAATTGAATAACGTAATATAATTGTAACGGGGTTAAGTAGAATTCAACCACCATTCAAACGAGAGTCAAGTTAACAACGTTGGTAGTGAGGGGGGGGTTAGAAATTTAATAAGGTGTGAAGGAAGACAACAATACGTATTAAGACAGATAATGTCCACTGTGTGTTTAGTGGCTGGAAAAGCTTCTTTTGTATGCAGAGTTCAAGATTTAACATGTGAATTGCCATTGCTTCTGCTGTTTTTGATTCCTTCTCTTCTACCAAGATTCCTGTGTATTCTCTAGACTACTCTGTGGGTTAGCTTAGTAGTGTCCAGGTTCGATCGGGTGTTGTTCTAGGATAGAGTTGAGGTGAGACGGAGAAATCTTTTTTCTTCTTTATAAAGTCATGATGGTGATAAGTGTTCACGGATTCGTTTGGATCTCGAACTCTGGGTACACCTGGTGGCATATTTGACTTCACATGAGCACAAGTGAATTGATAGATGCACATTGATGTGACCGGCATTTTCTTGCATTGTCCCCTTGATAACCTTCTTATCAACTGGAGTTATTTACTTCTCTCCTTTTAGGATTTTCACACTGAAGCATATGAAATCAGTAAGAGGAGAGAGAGAGATTAGAATAAGTCATTCAGGGAAGATGAAAGTTTCACTTACCTCACTTTTCTGTGTAGAACTGCTCTATAATGAGTGTATATATATATAATCTTCAATGATTCCTTTGTTTCTCATCGTATCTTATATCTGTATATATTTATTCAGAAAAAACTGTTATGTCGTCAGCTTCATGAAGCAGAATCCCTGATGATGGTGCAAAAACTTGACTGGGAGATGAAAGCGCGTGAAACACTGGCCAATGTGGATTGTATCGGTTTAGATGTATTCAAAGATATTCCAGGAAGTTGTGTACCAATGATTCCAGTGCCGAATGATTTTCCACTATTCGCTCGTGATCCAGTGCATCGACCAACTTCTATGACAATGACGAGTAATAATAATAACACTGGTGGTGGTGGTAATCCGATTCCTGCAACAACAACTAGCACTGTGATGAATAGCATCTCTGCGCCTGCCATAAAGACAACAGCGCCAACTAACACTGTCAGTAGCACAACATCCAACCCATAAACTGTAAACAATGAAATAATAATCAGTCAAACAGAATTGTGCATTTTCCACGTATATTTCTGTCTCTATGTGTGTTCATAGATGTGTACATATGTATATAATTATGTGTATTTGATTATCTATCAGTATTATTGGTTGTATAACCAATTATTTTAAAGGACTGAGTTTAACGAACAAAGAGTTTTTTTTCCCGTAAGTTCTCCATTATGTTCCACACACTTGTATGACCAAAATTAATAAACAATTATTGGTAGTAATAACATTGATGTTTTCTCTTTAATAACATTGAGTCAGTAGTATCGATAGATGATTACAATTCATTAACACAAACAACACTAAACTGATTGAACATCAAATAAATTAAGGAAATTAACACAGAATTTTTGAATTTACAAATTCCACAACAGGCCAGAGTAGCGATATCGGCTGGACCTGCTCCCTTGGCACACAGAGTTCCTGTTGCCGCAGACAGTCGTCTCTAATGTTTTTTGAGGCCTTTGATAATTTATTTGTTACCCGTTAAACCAATGGAGAAAGACCCTTCAACGGTAGCTGTGTTGGATGAGTTGGGTTTTTTTTTTATCGAACTGTTGGTGGTTTTTACAACACCTTTGTTTCGGATACACTGGTAGGTATTCCCAAGCACGTAAAGTTAAGTTCTTAGTGCAACGGCCAATGTAACTAGCTCCATAAGAACAGTTGAATTGATAAATGCATTCGGAGGTTCTTCAGTCTTCACTTTCAGATACACAACTGGTTGTGTGGGAAATGGAAATATAGGCTGTAGTTTACCAGTATTTAATCTTCTCTGAATCAGTTTCCTTAACTCACTATCTTTCTATTGTACTTGTATGTATAGATGCCTCTTGTTTGTCAGAGACAGAAGAATTCTTTTCTACACTCTTGGTCTGTGTGGACTGTTTTCAATTGACGTGCCGTATGCAACCTGAAGATCGTCTTCAATCGCCTCTTTTGATTATATATGTTTTTAAGCTCAATATCTGCATCTACATAGTTGATGTGTATGCCTCTATGAAAATATCTTAGGCCAAGAGGAAAGTATCTCGAATTGTATTCTATTTCATTCAATACTACTATAATTGGGAAAGTGTCTTTTAGGGGTCCGCCTGAAATTCGCCAGTTGCTGGCTTATTTTCAAAGCCTTTCCTTAGCTAAGTATGCTTCTTCTCTGCTCGTTTTTTTCCTGTTGCTAGAGAGATGTGTTTCTTAAAAGGATATCCTTAGATCTTCCGGTAGCTCATCTACTGCATTTTGCCTGCGGGCGATATTCGCTCCATTCTCTTGTATGCAAACAGTTCATCTGCCTTAGTGCATATCGCTTCAACGTCTTCTGATTCGGATGAACTCTGCTTCGATGTAGAGATTTTAAAAGTAACAGTTTTAGTTTAGACGGTTGTGTGACATTTCCTCTTTGCACAGAATCTTCAGATAACATATTTATTGAAATTGGATCCTGTGACACATTGCTGTCTGACCTGATATGCACACCAGTCCATTATGATATTTCCTCTTTGTCTCTTTAGAGAAACGAACAACATTTTTTAAAATTTTCAATTATAAAAAGTTCAGGAACAGTCCTTTCCCTCCCTCCCCCCCCCCGCCCCCACAATTATGCCCTTTCATTATGTTTAGAGGGAACTGGCGAATCAACACTTTAAGTACTCACGATAATAGATTATTCCACTACAGGTCATACTTGAATTGATTAAAACAAAGCAAATAGAAAAAATTGAATACAAAATAGGGATTTAAGTTTTTGGTAGTCCAGGCCACTGTGAAACCGCAATACCCTATGGATGTTCGGGGAATGCAATGCAAACTTAAGGATAAGTATTTGATTCGATGCAGTTATTAGTGAAATTCAATGTAGTTTCTGTTTCACGGAATTTAGCATTCCACTTCAGGGGCTCACTGAGAACATCCGACGCTACAGGCTACTCAGAACACCTTTAACTCTTATTTATTTACTGGATTTTTTGGCTTTATTCATCCACTTACAGGATGTAATCTTTATTTATTTATTTGATTAGTTTCTCATTGTAATCTGTTCGCTTATTTGAGTAGTATCAGGCACTAAGGTCATATTGGAACTTCTCTGTGAATTCTCATAACATCTTTATTATTTTTCTTGTTTTAGTGTCATTTACTGGTTTTATCTTCTACGTTTTTATTATGTAAGGAGATGAATTTTATTGTCTGCTAATTATCGATGATGCATCAATGATAACTTGGAATTTTGAAGTGTGTTTTTGATCTGTTTTCCTCTTGACTTGATGATTTCTTCTGATAAAGCTGTGTTTTCCCTCTAGTGATGGATAGCCTTTAAGCTGATCTTGCTATCGGCTTGCATACCTGTTATGTTGCTGCTGCTGAGTGGTTAATAGTGGTTTTCCCCGTCGCCAAACTGTTATGTACTCATCGCCAAATTATTATTATGTACTGGTCGAGAATTTAATAGTCCTGACGCAAGAAAGACGGAAATCAGAAGACCACTAGGTTTGCGATGATACTTCTATTTTCCAAACACAAGGAGAATGCAAAAGTGGTATCACACCAAAAGTAGACACACAAGATTGTGTGAGCGAAATATATATGAATGTCCAGACAAGTGTGTGAACAAATCAATAGACAGTCTTAACATGAATGGCTAATTATAATGGAGTGTCGATCCATATATACATAGCAAAATATAGCAGACATGTCAACAACCACACATACAATATGGATATATGTCACCAAGCAACGAACTGTCAACAAACACTCATATTATATATAATTTTTTTATTTTTGATTTACAGCTTGATTCCACACTGTATTTTTGGTACAAGTATGGAATTTTCAGCATGGTTATCGGTAGCCCAAATTTTACAGGCCGACCATAGATATCAGGTGTGCGCCGGCGTGGGCTCGAACCCCGGACCATGTGCATGGTCGGCGAGAGTCCTAACCACTGTGCCACCGACGCACATTGTTAAAGGAGACAGGTTCATCAAAGTGAAATGGTCACAGACTAAGCGAGCAAACAGAAAGAGAGACCACCATACACACACACACATATATATATATACATATCAATATCACAGTGGCCTAGCGGGCTACACTCTTTGGAACGTATGTTTCTGGAGTCCATATCTGGATATAGTAGTTAGCATCATATGATTCATTTGTCTACACTGTGTTCCGATGGGTTGGGGATCTGAGATAGAGGCAAGTCGAACTGCTATCGGATAAGGAGGGTGTAATAATAGTAAGCTGTTTTTTGTCGATGACCAATGACAGCCCTTATGTCCTCCATCGTCTCAATCGAGAAGACTATTTAAAATTAAGAGTTTCTATGACGTAGTTTACATATTATTGTTTTAAACAAAAATTTAAATCACAAGAGGATTCACCTGACCATCAATTTATTCAACTAACACATGATCATTATCATTCACAGGTTTTTGAAAAGCATACCCTATATATATATATATATATACCACAGTCATATGATAGTGTAAATGTCTATCTATACAGGGATGTGTCATTTGACCTTGTGGATGTCTGTCTGTCTATCTGTCGTTCATTCAAATGTGACGGGAGTATTTATTTGCCATTTTCGGTGGTGTTATCTATTGTCGAGACAAATCAATAATTACGGTACAAATCTATCACATATGCATTTAAGTAAGGTTTAGCGTGACAAAAAATTTAGACATTTATTCAAGTATTCATGAAAAAAAAAATCAATTAATCTGCTTACATACATACTAGTCATATAGGGTGATAGAGATTCTGGGATTCCATAGGCGTTTGAATTAATTTCAGTGAAGATTTTATCATTAACAAGTCACAGAATTATTTAAAGCCATCAGCATCACTGGACAGCTATTTTGCCCTAGTATGCACGCTCAGCATCACTACTGGGGTTCGAACCCGCGGACTTCAGGTTGTGGAAGCCAAACTATTTTACTGTTCACCTTCTGTCAATTCATGATATGGCGTTACCCTCAACTAATACTGTCGATGAGCACGCATTTCACAACTCACCTTGACATGGTAGACCGCAATGGCTCCGACGTCTCTGTACAGCTTCAGCATATCCACTCAGTAGCGTTGAATAAGCTGGAGAATGACTGATACGTAGATTATGACATTTTAAAGGAACCAACACCAGTTAGAAATAGTGGAAGACCGGAGAGCCCCCGACTTGGCTAAAGTGGTTCTCCCCATTCCCTCTTGTTTTTCAGTGTCGTCCAGCTGTTTCACGATAAAATCTATATTGGAAATAAGATGATTCATCTGAATCCTTTCATGATTTGCCTTTTAATTGCAATCGTCTGGTTATATTGAAAATAGAAGTTGACTGTCTGACATTCAGCATAGAACTTTGCACGGAAGTTCAACGGAACAACTTGCCATATTCGATGAAGCACACAAAGATAGACAACAGAGGGGGAAAATTTAATTTTTAAAAATACTAATTATTAGTATGGGCAGAAATGTGAAGGATAGTCATAGGAACATGGGAAAACATTTTGGTTTAAGGGATACGGGGGATCACGTAAAGTGTTATTGTGAACGGCTTTTAGCCATATTGCGAACAGTTTCTATCTACTAGTTCTGAGCATCCTGACGACCCTAACCAGGCAGGCAGTCCACATCTCCATACACGGTCACAAGTGACTGTCAACGACTTCATGAGCTGATACTGTGTCTTGATTGGACCATCCGTAACTCTTTTCTAACCTGCTTCATTGTTGGTTGACGTTTCTCGAGGAGGAAGGCTATGGCTTGTTGTGCACAACACGTCTCCTAACCATCTCAATCAAATCACCTTCACAACCTCATCGATTCTTGTACACTCCTTAACCAACGCTGTACGCCCAATATGAGTATTACTCATTATATTATGTTACCTGACTTTTGACATAGAACATAGGCATTTGTGGTCAAAGACATCTAGCCTTTTCACATCTTCCAATATTTGTAGGCATATCTAACGGCCATAAACAAGAATAGGGTGGACTGTTGCGCACTACACACGTCCTGTGACAGATGGTCGGATATCACGTACATATCACAGATGATGCAGGTCGTAAAACACTACAACATCGGCTTCTTTGTATCTGTGTTGAAATTTTGTCAGAAATGAGTCCCAATTGGGGCTGATGCAAATTCTCAAGTAAGCCAAGTGGTCGGAAATTTGTACCACTTGACTACTACCTATCTTTGAACTAGGAATCTGTTCAGA